TATCACACTGTTCCATAAATTTCTATAGGATACCTCAGTTCCTAAGGTAGCTTTGAAAAAAATGCAACTGTCCATTAAAGAGGTAAATTTGGTTTTCCTGATTCAGTCTTGAATTATACCATTATGCATAACTTTTAATAACTACCAAATTTTGAATGTCTTCACTGTATACCAAGAATCCATTCTGGGCCTTTTGGAATGTCCATATATAGCATTTTAGTTCACTGAAATGTTTAGGTTCAAAATGTAATATATTATCTATATTTCCTGTTACTATCATATCAATTCAAAAGCTGTGGTATACTATTTCTGAAAATTTGATTTTTCTCATGTCAAATTGATGCTATGGGGTAATTCGAATCTTAAAATTGATGAAATAAATAATTATATAGAAACTTTTGAAGGATACTGGAATTTTGTCTTTAGATGAACTATGAGATGATAACTCTGACCATTGATTATTTTCTACTATAAATAATAAGGATAAGGACTGCTTGTCTGCTGCTACCCATGGGCAATATTTTCACCTAATAAGTAACTAATACTTAGTGATATCTCAGTTTGGACCAGGAACATTTTCATTTTCAGTGACACCTCTTTTAATATAAATAGTCATTAAATCCTATGAGACCAAAAAAAACAAAAACAAAAACCTGCAACTAATCTTTTTACATACTTGGAATTTGTAAATGAATTTTATATTCAAATTTTAAGGAATCAGAAATTTCTATTTTTGTCTAAATAGTGAGAAACTATCTTAACATTAATAGATCTTTGATTATGGTTTATTCAATGAAAACATATTTCAGGAATTTTGGACCCCATTGGCATTGTATATAAAAGTTGAGTAAATAAGAATAATTTTTCATTAAAATATATTTTTGTGATGTTGCAAAGTTAAAATATATTATGGGAAGAAGTAATTCTATATACTCTGACATTACATTGATTCTGAGACAAGATTTAATATTTTCAGTTCAGATTCTTTTGAACTATAAACCTATCACATGCAAATTAACAACTGGACAATGAAAATCGATTCTTCATGTCCTCTTATTGCTAACAGACTAGTACTTCAACACTGGAATGATAAATTTATGGGCCCATTTACTCAGTATATTGAGATGTTTTTACTTGCAACTTATGAGTAAGTTGCTTATAGGCATAGATTATGTATGGACATTAACAGTGGAATATGGCTATTTTTTGTTGAAGCTCTTGTGGAAAGTTCAAAAACTTGTATGATAAGCCTGTCTGTATATAATTTTTGTTTTAATTGTATTTCTTTTTTTTCTTTTTTCTTACTTTTCTTTGTTTTCTTTTATTAACTAAAGGTAATTTTTTAAAAAGCCGTTGGAAGTTGCAGGCAACAGACTTGGTGCTACTATAAAAATTGGTGAGTTATCAAGGTGTAAATAACTTCTATCCTCTATTTTCCTGTATTGAGAGATCTCTACTTTTACATTATTAGAATACCAGAAGTAAAGTGTAAGCATGGGGAAATGATGAAGCATATGTTGTCATGTTGTAGCACAAGTCACAACACATTTACCCTATTTTGGTTCATTATGGGTAGGAACAAAGCTTGGGAACATATCTGACTCAGTCTGGAAATACAAAGAGATCTCAGTTTAAAATGTTCCTTCTTAGGGTATATTGGATGAATATGTGAGAAGCAAGCCTAAAGACTGAAGCAGAGCTATACCAATAGGTCTTGCATTGACAATTCAGGCACTGACATTCCACAGCATAAGAATGTAACAACATAGATATGCAGCCTTCCCACATGCAAGTACGTGCATAAAGAAGTCCACATAATTTGGAGTCCATATCAACTGGACAGTATTTAAGCAAAACTTGAGTCTGGCAATTTTAATTATTCAAAATCTGAATGTTTATTTTGAATATTGACAAATTAGATATTGAATAATATTTGATAAAATATATTATACTTCTTACAATGTCATTAAAATAAAAAGAATAAGAAAAAAGATCTTATGCTTTTGGAATTCATATAGAACAAGATATTTATAATAAGTTTTGATTTGAAAATGTTTGTCTTCAGACTTCTTAACTCCAGTGCATCAGATATTATTTTCTTTTTTGACATTACATTGCACTGTGAGGCTATTTTATTAGAATGCAGCATTTCCTATAGAAAGTAAAACCCAACACCAGATGGCACTTAAAGGTCACATATTGGCCAATATATAAAATTATAATCTGGATTTTATATAGTTAGAATGAAATATTTTCTTTAAAAGGTCACTGAACATGGTTCATATGTTAGACCCTAATTTATCAGGTTTCTTACAAAAAGAAAACTTACGTTAGATGCTTAAAACAATCAAATATGTAACTCTTTGAAAATACAAGAACATGAACACATTCCTTTTAAATTTTAGCAGAATGCTGGTTAGAAATATTTGCCACAAACAAAAATCACAGATGAAATACAAAACATTTTCTGCTCCCTCCACTTATCAAGAAACTGTTTGACAAAATTTGTACATCTCTGAAAAACGGGAAGCCAGATATTAAATTCCACAGAAAGTTCCATGCTAATATATCAAGAACAAATGATATACACTTAAGGGTAAGTGGAACTACCCTTAAACTTCACCAAGGCACTGAATAATCTAGAACCAAGCCCATAGATTCTCAATTTCTTTCCATTTTTTTTTTTTAGACCTACAGCCTAGCAAAGGAGAAAGGAAGAGGATAAACAATATAAAGACCAGAGCTGACAAATGCTTCTGAATTATTTCTGAATAAATAGCGCTTGCATAATTT